GATCCAGAGGGGGACACCGGGGGGACCCAGGGGGCACCGGGAGGGGACACCGGGACACGGAGGGGATACTGGGACCGATATTGGGATCGGAGGCGGGGGGACACGGGGATACCGGGATCTAAGGGGGGACACGGGGATCCAAGGGGGGACACCGGGACCGGGATCCGGGAGGGACACCGGACTGGAGTGGGGGCAAGCGGGACCGGGGGGCGTGACACGTGGACAAGGGGAACGCACCGGGACTGGGGGGATACCGGGACAGGGGGGATTACCTGCGCCACGAGTGGGGACCCCAACACCAGGGACCTGCTGGGGCCACGCAGTGTCCCCCCTGATGGTGCTGGAGCAGCCACTTCGAGGTGGTTGCGCTTCTGTGACCCCCGGGGGGGGTCGTGACCTCGACCCGCGGCCCGGGCTGGGGGTGACCCCCCGATCCCGCACTCCAGGCGCTCCCAGGAGCTGACACCGCTCCACGAGGCCGCGGCCCGGGGGTGCCGCCGGTGCCTCGGGCTCCTCCTGCGGGACCAGGTGAGCGGGGACAGGGACGGCCCTGGGCACGGGGACAGCACCCACGGGACTCTCCTCGTCGGTGGGCTGGGGGAGCTGTGGGTGTTCGCCTTGCCCTGGCAGGGCTGTGTCACCCCGTGGTGGCCCTGGCAGCGGTGACAGCGATGTCCCCTCCCCACAGGATGGGAAACGGGCCACGGATGCGGTGCTGGAGCAGGGCTGGCCCCTCGTGGAGGGTGAGGTGCCCTGGGTGCCCCCTTGGCTGGGGTTGGGGTTGAGGGTCCCACCCAGCCCCCCAGTTTGGGCTGGGCACTGACTCCTGTCCCTGCCCCCAGCCCCGGGGGGACGCAGGAGGGCCCTGTCCTTCCTGACCGAGGATGACTCCGATGGCAGCGTCTCCTCTGGGCTCCCTGAGGACAATTCCGAGGCCGGACCCCTCAGCAGCACCCGCAGGTCCCTCCTGGAGGAGCGGGAGCTGGGGGGCCGCTGTGTCCCCCCGCTGTGGCAGGACCATGTCCCAGAGCCCCCGTCCCTCCCCCCATGGCCCCGAGGGAACCCCAGGGGCTCTGCTGTCCCCCCACAGCCCCTCGCCTCCAGCACACTGCTCTGGGACAGGGACGAGCTCCAGGAGGGACCCCCGAGCTGGACTGGGGGGGGAAGGATCAGATGTCCCCCCTGGGCTCCCTCCAAGCCCAGTGTTGGGGACATCCCTGTCCCCTCCCCCCAGTATGGCCCCAATGGGTCCCTGAGGGACCCCCGGCGTTGCAACAGGACCCTGGGGGGACACAGAGCCCCCCTGCCCTGCCATGGCCTGAGCAGCTGCTCCGAGGTGTCCCCAGGTCCTGGTGACAGTGACATCCCTCAGCACCGCCCCGGTGTCCCCTGGGGACGGGTGGGGGATGCTGCCCCCAAAATGGGGGTGGTGGTGCCCAGGGTGGGAGCTAATGGGTGGGATCCTGGCAACCCTGGGGACCCTGACAGCCCTGGGGACAGCAGCAGCCCTGGGGACAGCAGCAGTGCCACCGAGGGCTTTGTCACTGCCCTGGAGGCCCTGGAGCCCAGCGAGGCTGGGGGGGGCCGGGGGGCTCAGCCCCTCTGCTCCCCCCTGCCCAGGGCAGGCAGGGGGCTGGGCTGGGGTGCAGCCCCCTCCCCAACGGGAGCTGCCCCCCAGGAGCTGCCCCCTGCCAGCCCCCCGCGTGCAGAGCGGGCGCAGGGTGGGGGTCTCTGGGGGGCCCCCAGGGCAGCCCCTCGCTGTGGGGGTGGCCCAGGCCTGGCTGATGTGGGGGAGCTGCTTGCCCGGCTCCAGGGGTGCAGCCTCGGGGGGTCCCCACCCCACACCCTGCGGTCCCTTCGCAGCCCGGCCGGTGTCACCGCTGGGGATGTGACCCCCCTGGGCCAGGAGCCCTCTGGGCACAGCCACATCACCCCCAGGACCAGGAACCGCCTCCGGGCGGCCGCAACGCGGCTCAACTCCCCTTCCTCCTCCTCCTCCTCCTCCTCCTCTTCTTCCTCCCTCTTCAATGGGACTCTGCCAATGCCCCGGAGACCCCCCAGGATCAGGTCCCCCCGGGGGGTCCCCAGGGACCCTGCCACCCCCCCGGGACCCTGTGTCACCCCACGGGACGAGGGTGTGTCCAGGCGGGATGGAGAGGGGACAGACTCTTTGGAGGACACCCAGATCCTCCCCAGAGCCCCCAGGTCACCCCCTGGGGGGGTTGGCAGCTCCCCTGGCTCCGGTTCCACGGTTCTGCTGGTTCCTGGGGACCAGGGGCATGCCCAGGACTCCCCTGGCTCCAGCCCCACCATCCTGCTGTGCCCTGGAGACCCCAGGCCCCCCCAGGATCCCCCATTAGGCCCTCGGGGCTCCCCCCACATCGGGGTGCCAGAGGGTGGCTCTGGGTGGCAGCGCCACTCGCCCCTGGGGACACCCCAGTTCCAATGGCCCCATGGGAGCTCCAGGCACCTTCTGACCCCTCAATCGCCTGGCAGTGCCAGGGGTGACCTGGGCACCCCCTCTGTGCCCCTGTCACCCCCCGGCTGTGGCCCCCACTGCTCCGGGGGGTGTCGAGAGGACAAGGGGCAGGGACAGTCACCCCACGAGTGTCACAGTCCCAGGACAGGGGCCACCCCCAACCCCAAGGACGCCACAGGCCGGGATGGCCGAGCGTCCCCGGGGTCCCTCTCGGACCAAAGTCTGCGGCGGCGGCTGCGGGAACTGGGGGAGGAGCCGGGACCCGTCACCGACCTCACCCGGGGGCTCTACCGGCGGCGGCTGCAGGAGCTGGGCACAGGGCACAGGGGGCAGCCGGAGGGTGAGTCCGGGCATCCCATCCTGGGGGGCACATCCTGGGGTTCCCATCCGGCCTGTCAGCTCCCCGGGGCGGTGGGGATGGGTGTGGGGGGCTGGGGGCTGTGCTGATGGGCACAGGGGGGCTGCCCTGAGGCCGTGGGGACGGCCACGAGGTTCACAGTGGTCCCCAACGCTGGCACGGCCACCCCAGGGCACAGCCCGGAGCTGGTGGCTGCGCTGAGGACCGGCCACATCCCCGACTGTGCCCAGGATGAGCTGGCACTGGCGCGGCAGTTCGAGCGTCCCGACCGCAGCCGGCACTGGCGGGAGGGGCTGCTCAAGTCCAGCTTCAACTACCTCCTCCTCGACCCCAGGTAGGGCAGAGACGCTGTGCCCGCTGCTCCCTGTGCCAGCAGGGCCCCGGCGGGGACCCCCGTGAGGCACAAGGCGCTGAGGTGGGGTTTGCACCCCCAGGGTCACCCAGGACCTGCCCCTGCGCTGCCCCCGCCTGAGCCCGGCCCAGCGTTTCCAGACCTTCATCAGCGCCGTGTTCTACGTGGGCAAGGGCACCCGGGCCAGGCCCTACTGCCACCTGGCCGAGGCCCTGGGCCAGCACCGGGCAGGGACACGGCGGGTGGGGAGGGCTGGGGGCTAGGGGTGGGTGGGCACGGGGGGCTGGGGGCTGTGGGGATGGGCACGGGGTCTGGGGACCATGGTGAGGGACACGGGGTGGCTGCACCAGGGGGCTTGAGGCATGGCCGTGGGGATGGGCACCAAGGGCTGCCAGGGGGGGCTTGGGGCCACGGCGATGGGCGTGGGGGGCTGGGGACCATGGATGTGGGCACGGGGTCTGTGCTGGGCACTGGTGGCCCTGGTGACAGTCCCCGCTGTCCTGCAGGGCTGCCCCAAGGTGCGGCGCATCCTGGAGATCTGGGAGAGCGGGCACGGCGTGGTGTCCGTGCTCTGCTTCCAGAACAGGGTCCCGGCAGAGGCCTACACGAGGGAGGGCTGCATGGTGGAGGCGCTGGGTGAGCAGGGG